CATAAAATAACCGGTTCTCTTTTCCACAAAATACTGACTTCTGCACATGGGGCACAAAGTTTCAATCGCACTGTACGTGCGCGCCCGTACGTGGTATTTTGTGGAAGAGCCACACTCAAGGAGCCAAAGAGCCACATGTGGCTCGTGAGCCGCTGTTTGCCGACCATGGCAGAAAAAGAGAACACTCAAAAAGGTTTGTGCTTGTCTCTACTGTGTGACAAGCAGGGCACTTAGGTGATTATTAATAATAAAAAGGACCCTGCTAATGGACTGGAATTCTCACTGTTGTTAACTGTTGAGCTGACGGTATGTGAGCACTGGCCCGTGTGTTTTACCTACTAGTATGGTAATATTTAATCCTCACAGTAACTGTACTCATTTCCAATTTACTGATGAGGAAACTGAGAGGTTAAGTAACTTACACAAGGTCACACAGTAAGTGGCAGAGCTGGGGTTCCAACCCAAGCCGTCTGGCTTCAGAGTCTATGCTGATCTACTTTCAACTCCAAATCACCTAACTTGGCTTCGAGCAAATGACTTAAACTGTTTGGGTCTTAATTTTCTTTAAAAGGAGAAGATTGGGTTTGATCAGATGGTGCCTCAAAGGATGAGGGGAGGATCCAGAGGTGGGGTGTCTCTTACAGCAAACTACCAAACCTTCACTTTTAACTAGTTTAGTGTTCTATGTAAATTTCATTTGCAGAAAGAATTCTACTGTTAAAAAAAAAATAAAAGCTTGAAAACTACAGCACTAAATGGCTTCCAGTGTTTTTCAGGTTTAAATTTGTCATTTTAGGTTAAATTTCATGATTAGCGTTAAATATTAGAGTGACAAAATGGGAGAACATCTCTTTGTGTGGCCAGTATCTTGGTGGGGGTGGGGGAGAAGCTAACCCTTCCACCACGGACCCTGTCAAGGATAAAACATCTTTGATTTGGAAAGCAAAGGTAATAAGGAAGTGCTGGAGATGCTTGTCACATTATACTCTACTGTGCTGACTGGGGGGACTTTCCATTCCTGCTGCCACCACCCTCATTACCTTCTCCCACCTGAGTTGTTGCATTAGCCTCCTAACTATTCATTCAACCTTCAGTCTACCCTCCAACCAATTTTTCCTCGATCTTTCCAGTGGATTGATATTCTTAAAAGACCACTTTTCATTAAGATTTTACCTTGCTTGAAAGACTTCTGAGGTGGTTGTCTGCTAGAACATGTACCAACTCCTTGATGAAGCAATAGATATGGGGCCTCAGCTCCCATCCAGTCTCATTTTATGGGGCTCCTCCAGCTGCTATTCACGTGAACCCCCATCCTCATGCTGTCCTCTCACCTGGAATGACCACCCCCTTCTCTCCACTGACCTATGCTTCCCTTCCGTTTTGAACAACACGGGGGAGGACTCTCCTCATCACAGGAACCACCCAGCTTTTTGTCCACTCATGTCCTGTTTCCTATCTCAAGCCCTTCCTCTGAGATTTACAGACCTTGGAAGACAGGACACTGTGTCTTATACATCAGCGTGGTGTCTCCTGGATTTAGCCCCATGCCTGGCTTTAAATTTTATTTAAAGTATTTGGTTAATAAATGTTGGATGACTTGGAAGTCTTTTATGGTAATGAACTTTCAGTTCACCAGGAACTTATGGGAGGTGATATTGGCGACAGTTTGCCTCGGTCTTGGCTAAAATGCATATTTATCTAAAACCAAAAATACAGCTGCTCACACAAAATCTCTCCTTTTTGCAGAGAGAAGGCCCATAGATATGTTTTCCTTTTAATTTCTTTTAAAAACAAAAGAAAAAATGAACATAGTAACAATGAATATATAACACTGGGTTATATTAATCTTTGTAATAACACTAGAGGCCCAATGCATTCGTGCAAGAGTAGGCCTTCCTTCCCCCGGCTGCCGGCACCAGCTTTCCTCTGGCACCTGGGAACCGGGCTTCCCTGGCAGCCCCAGGTTAGTCCGGAAGGATGTCCAGTCTAATTAGCATATTATGCTTTTATTATATAGGATGGTCATTGATTTGATTTTTTATGAACAGAGACTCATGAAGGCAAAAATGTCTAAGGTCCACAAAAGCTCAAGATGGGCCTGATAGGAAAGCACAGGAAATGGTCATGGAGAACCTGGCCCTTCCTGAGCACAGCCCAATCGTCTCCCTGCAGCTGCTGGTTGGGAAAGGAGATGGCACTATCCCTGGGAGTCTGTCTGTGGCTCCTGCACAGGGTTCAGGGTGAGCAGGGTGCCCCTGGGCGGGCAGCTGGTCAGGAGTCCTTACCTGTGTAGAGTGGGGAATATAAACAGATAACACAATCTCTTCTGACTTAAGGTCAGCTTCAGGTGCTCTCTCAAGGAAATGGCCGTCTAAAGGAATCTGCCGTTCTCCTTCTATCAGAGAAATGACCTTGATTAGAATGCACATATTCAATTGGAGAATATCCAGCCAGGGGCAGAGGTGATGTATTGGGTGAAAAGATAGAGAGTGCAGGCTGGGGGCCAGACAATGTGGGTTCTAGCTCCAGGTTCCATGCTGTGTCTCCGTAGGGAAGTTCCAGAACCTTTGGGGCTTCTGGTTCCTCATTGTTAGAATGAAAGGGTTGGGCCAGATAAGCTGAAAGGCTATAGAGAAACAACCCAGTTTCACAAATGGGAAATGGGGAGAATGTATTTCACACATGGGAAACTTGAGGTCCAGAGGTCCGGAGAGGTTAGATGACCTGTCCGAAGTGCTGGAGGCGGGACTAGTGGCAGAGGTGGGGTGCCTCAGATAAAGCTTCCTTTCTTTAAGCAGTTTGCCCTGCTTTCTTATTTGATCCACCATATTTTTTAAATGTGATTTTAATCAAAGAGGGTCACAACAATAGTTCTATGAATAATATGCACTGCTTGTATTTCGTTAAGTACAATCATTTATCCTTGGCAAGGATTAAACTGGTTGTGAATAAAGAGAGAAGTAATGAGTCATGTGCCCCACAAAGCTGATTTTGTTTGAAATGAAAAGTCCTAGAAGAAAAATTCCACCTTTATGTAACTCTGAAATCAAATATGCCATAAAACTTTGAAACCACAGAGATGCACCTCAGACATTTTTTGATAACTGCTTTTGGACTGTGCATGAATGTGTCCAAACAGTTAAGAAAAATTATCTGGTGCAGTAACTTATCTATGAGATACAGAATATCTAGAGAACAGGATAATTGATCTCAGCTTCATCCTTATGTTTGGGGGAATGTAGCTATCACCTATATGTATTTGGTAAGTCTAAGTTGGATATACTTGGGTTCCCAGGTCATAGCTCATGGAAGGAGCTACCTGACAGTGATAATTATAAAACAGAATGCTTAAAAGTTGGTCTCTTACCTTTAGATATCAGATTGATGGTAGCATTTCCTGCTGCTAAAATTGGATTTAGGTCAGAAAAATTCGGCCTGCTCACCACATGTCCTCCTAAAGTCTAAATATATAAAGGAGACACTTCTTTTTTTAGCTACTCTTAGCTATTTAACAGATAAGCAATTATGCATGCAGGGATCTTGTGTAAGCTTTTAATTCTCTGCTTCGTAGAAAGATCTGGCAGAGCTTTGGGGCAGTGAAGTAGATTCAGACAACATACGGAGCACGGTTCCGACCCCTGACTCCATTCAGACTCATTGCCTGAGAAAATAAGCCTTTCCCATGTGTAACGAGGAGCCAGCTGTCTTTGAGAACTGGCCCTAGAGGGAGTGTTCTGTAACACAGGGGAAGATGCAGACTGCAGCCTGCGGAAACTCTAAAGAACCGGGAAATGGAACTCATTTTCTAAATGTTTGCGGTGCTGCTGTGCCCAAACTGTCAATAAGGAGGACATTTGAAGGGAGCTAAGAAGGCAAGACGGTGAGAGGAAAACAGGATCCAGAAAAAGGGATAGAAGATGCCCAAGGTGAAAACATATGGTGGATTTTGAGAATCAACAGAAATGGAGCCAGAGACAACTAGGAAAATGTGTCCCCCTGCCCAGCCCCACTGAGCTACTCACCATGTGTGGAATGGGTAGTGGTTTGAACCAAATTTCTCTTAAATTTTAGATAATAGGAAACCTTGATAAACTAGATAACTGGGGATGTCCAAGAATTGACATTTGGGATACAGATGTTTGGAAACTGACCTCATCACTAAGCTCTAAGAGGAGAACCATCCATCAAAGAGTATTTCAGAAAGGCAGGCTCTATAGAAACCTTGGATAAGAAACCTTTCACAGACTGTTAGAACCAGACAGGATCTTAGAGACAGTCCATTGGGTTGAACCTTAATTTTTATTTTTAAGTTCAGAGAGGAAGGGAGAGGGAGAGAGGGATAGAAACATCAATGATGAGAGAGAATCATTGATCAGCTGCCATCTGCATGCCCCCTACTGGGGATAAAGCCCGAAACCCGGGCATGTGATCTGACCAGGAATCGAACTGTGACCTCCTGGTTCATAGGTTGGCCCTCAACCACCCAGCCATGCTGGCCGGGCTTAATTTTTACAATGGAGAAACAGTGGTTTAAAGTGGTTTCTCCAGGATCATGCCACTCACAGGTGACAGGCTGAGATTAGAATTTGGGCACCTTCAGATTCCAGGAGCATAATCTTGTTACATAATATGCTGCTTCTCACTCTGGGCACACACATGCACACAATGTGAGCACTCTCACTTTGGGCGCACGCACCTGCGTGCACACACACACACACACACACACACACTCTCATGTTGCACAGATTTATTTAACACTGACTTGTTGGGTTTCCTCTTCAGAGTGATGTTTGCTCAACTGAACAGAACCATATGGCTGACTGTACTATGGCCCATTTCCTATGACACTAGAGAACCTACCGCCATACTCCTGATCTGGACTCCGGCAAGCGTCCTCAGGTGCATCCGGAGGGCACGGTAGGTCTTAGTCTTCTCCTTTGGTTGCTCCGAAACAATAAAAGCTAAGGCATCATTCAGCTGGGCGAGGCTGTAGCCCGCCCCGATTGTCACCCCTGAAAGTAAAACACTGGCATGAAAACTGAAAGGAAAAAGACACCTGGGCTGCATGGAAGCCACCTTTCGAACAGATCTTCCCTTTTCTCATTGGCTGAGGATGACAGGAGCCAAAGATGAAGCTCATTTCTGGCAGTTTGCATTATCCCCAGATATTAGGTACCAAATTCTTTTTCTCAGTCACGTGTACAGTCATATATGCCATATATGCTAATATACGTCAAACACAGATATTTGAAATTTATTAGTTTATTTCTAATTTAGTGTTTTCTGGAATGTATTGATCAAATATAAAATTTGCAGCCAAGATTTTCTAAGGTTCTTAAAAGCTCAGCAAACCCGAGTGGGACTTGACGTGCACGTTCGCGTTGCCCGCTTGCCTTCCTTCCAGAGCTGTTGCTTCCTACTGTTCCCTTGTCAGAAGGAGAATAGACACCCACCTGTGCCTCAGGTCGGTTTCCTGCAGGTGAACTCACAGGGGATGCTTTGAGTAGTGATGTCATCTAGTTTATGTATTCTTTTTTAAAAAATATATATTTTATTGATTTTTTTACAGAGAGGAAGGGAGAGGGATAGAGAGTTAGAAACATCAATGAGAGAGAAACATCAATTCAGCTGCCTCCTACACACTCCCTACTGAGAATGTGCCCGCAACCAAGGTAAATGTTCTTGACTGGAATCGAACCTGGGACCCTTCAGTCCGCAGACCGAAGCTCAATCCACTGAGCCAAACCGGTCAGGGCTAGTTTATGTATTCTTAAGGGAGGCAATACTGCCCCCAAGGGGGTGAAAATAACCTTTTCCTTTTTATGTATAAAGCTCTGATATACAAACTGTACATAAAAAGATACATTGTCTGTGGTTTTAAAATTTCATGGAGAGATGATTACAGAAAAAAGTTCTATTGCTCCTCAGAGAGGCAGCAATAAAGAGATTGAGAAACATTGGTTTTGATTCTGTAGGCTCTACCTCCCCAACCCTTGCCCACCCCCCCTCACCAAGTACTTCCATAATCTTCCTTCCAACCCCCCCTCCCCTCCCCCGCACCAGCCTGGCTTCCCCCTGCTCCACCTCTTCCTGGGAGTGCAAGAGGTGAAAAGAATTACTGGGCAGACTGACTTCAGATTAGCAGGTCAGAAGGGAAGCAGTCAATTTTCCATTTGATTGCTGTTTACTCACTGGGGAGAACCCTATTTTATGTAGCATTTTTAGCTCCTGTAGCCTGTTCTCCATTCAGATGCTGAGTTTTGGTTCGTGGACGGTGGGATATGTTTCTCAGGCAGCCTTATTTGGTGCATCCTGCAAAGGAGTACTTGACTAAGAGTAAGGAGACATGGGATCTAGTCCCGACGTAACCGATTGATAGCTGTGCGAAGTTGGGAAGGTATTTCAGCCTTTAACTCTACAAATCCTTTAGGAGAACAGAGATCCCAAGGCTGCCTGCTATGTATACCTCCGGGGGTTGTTGTGAGGATAAAGAGAAATGAGATATGAAAGCACTTGCTAAATTGTTAAAAGAACGTAAAATGAATAAGGTTATTGTTCACAGCTAAACCTTCACATTTTGTAGTCTAGTTTGTGAGTGTGTGTGTGTGTGTGTGTGTGTGTGTGTGTGTGAGTGTGTGTGTGTGGGTGTAGATGAGCCTTAAACAGATTTGTGAATCAGAAATTAATGTCTAGAGAGCTCAGTTGGTTAGCAGTGGTCGGCAAACTGCGGCTCGTGAGCCACATGCGGCTCTTTGGCCCCTTGAGTGTGGCTCTTCCACAAAATACTGGCTCTTCCACAAAATACCGACTTCTGCGCATGGGCCACGAGGTTTCAATCGCACTGCATGTGCGCATGTGGTATTTTGTGGAAGAGCCAGACTCAAGGGGCCAAAGAGCCGCATGTGGCTCACGAGCTGCGGTTTGCCGACCATGGGTTAGGAGCATTGTCCCATACACCAACAGGTTGTGGGTTTGAATCCTGGTCAGGGCACATAGCTAAGTTTTGGGTTAGATTCCCTGTCCGGGCCTGTGTTTCTCTCTCTCTCTCTCTCTAAAATAAATGCCTTTCTCTCTCTGAAATAAATAAAAACATAAAAGAATATTTAAAAAATAAAATAAAAACATATCTTTGGGTAAAGGGAAAAAAAAAAGAAAGAAAAAATAATGATGTCTAGCAAGACGCTTTCCTACCGGCCAGCCAATGTCTTAAGTCTTCTTACTCAGTGACTCTTCCCATACATGGCTGAACTACCTGCCATCTTACTGCCATTATGGCTCCCTTGACAATGCAGTCCTCAGTGACACAGCTGAGTGGAGTGGGTTAGTTTGAAAAAGCTCATGGAAAACACAGAGTAGATGCTCAATAAACATTTTTTGAATGAATGAATGAGGTCAGTTATTCTATGAAGTGCTCAATTCAGCCCATTGTATATAATGAACAGTCCACCAACAGCCAATCATTACATATTATTTGAAAAAGAAGGTGCATACCATTGTCTGTGCTGTCCACAAAATGCAGTTCTGGAAGCCCAAATGGAGATATGAAAACTGGATGGAATTCATCTTTGAATTTAATGCCGGGTCCTCAAGGAGAAAAGCATTTAAAGCAATTAGGAAAGGAAGTCAATGAGTGCTACTAGATGTTGCTTACAGAAAATCAAGAGGGAAAATGGTGACAAAAAAGACATTTGCAAAAGAAAGCAACAAAGCATTCTAAAGGCAGAGGCACCCACTAGTAAAGATGAATTGCATTTATGAGGAGTTTAAAGAGAGACACAGTGTTTGGGTTACCTAAAGAACAGACTTTAAAACACCCACCCACTGCAGTGTTCCCCATGACAAGGGGGGCCTTGGGGTACTTGGCTTTCAGCTCCAGGAGGTCATTCAGGGCCACAGGGGTAATCCAGGTGGTCCTTTCCCCTTGAAAAGTCAGCCTTCTCTTGCTTGGATCTTCCGCCATCCTCTGCAGAGAAGCAAAGCCCACAGACTTTCAGGTAAGGCTGCTGGGCTGCATGCCATGAGTATATACACTGTTCTGGGTGCCCAAGTGGCCCGCTGGCCATTTTAGTTTTCTGATGAGACCTAAGTTCTAGGGAACAGGAAAGGGTGGCTTTGTTTGAGACCAGATTTATAAGTTTTGTGTGGGCACCACTGCATTAAATAGGTATCTGTCCGTCAATGCCTGCATATAGAGTAGAGCAGACTCTGTGAAGAGGAGGCGCATGGTATGATGAGTGTCTAAAGGGCCCAGCTTCTCACTCTAGTTCTGTCCCAAGAATGACTCAGAGGGGTCACATCTTTGGGATTAGGGTTTTTTTTTGTAGGATAAAAATTGCTTATAGGCAAAGTTATCCTTGAAAAACATCCCTTAAATCATCCACCAGGTATAGTGTATGTGGATGTTGTTATAATGTATATATGCACATGTGTATATCTATATCAATATGTGTGCATATCATCTTTAAATACGAGGCGTGTCCAAGTTCTCACACTCTGAGGGGTGTGCAGGGACTGAGGCTCTCAGAAGCCGGTAGGACCATATCCCTCATCTCATGCTCTCTCCCGGGCACAGTCGCGGAGTAGAATGATGGGCCTATCACACGGTTTATATTATTCGCTCTCTCTCCCACCTGAGTTGAAATCACAGAGGTTAACTGTAAGAATAACTTAATTCCATCATAATAAGTATCATTTGAATTTTACTGGGCCGGTTTTACAAAATGCCTTAAACGTATCTCACAGGGTAGCTGTGTGCCATTGGGTACGTCACCTACAAGCTCTGAGCTCAGACCCTTCAACAAAGGGGGTGGGACCAAAGCATCTCTGAGGTCCTGGCAGCCCCACGCCTCTAAACTATCTGCTTCAAAGTATTTACAGTGGGGCTGAACAAGTTCCTCGAAAGGGGTTATTATAGTGGACACAGTTCCAGCTTCTACTGTCTAAAGCTTGGTAATTCCACAGGATAATACAAAGAGGCTTACTATAGCACATTATGTTTTGAAATAACAAAAGTAAAGTGTCTTACTATCAGTTCGGGAGGGAATATAGGTTCCTGGGATGGATCCAAGGGCTGGAATTCGTCTTCATTATACAGTTTGGTACATATCTCGACAAAACAAAACAAAATGCAAGTGGAGCTTCAGAGTTACTGGGAGATGCACAGGAGTCTCTAACTGTGGGACTTCAGACTTAGGGCCTGACCCTCTGACACCTCAGACACTAAAGGTGGGTGCCAGGGCCCAGGGTGCCCCCAGTAGGATTCTCCCACCTTCAGAAGACCATGATGGTGTCCCTGGCAGCTTAACTGAGCTCGGGGCTGGCTCTTTGGGTGTCAGGAGTTGGGTTTTAAACTTCTGTGCTGGGTCTCACATGTTATTTGCTGATACATATTTGCCATGAGCATAAAGATGCACCACTGCTTACGTCACTTGATTGGGGGTGAGGGGGTGGGTAAACCCAGATTAGCACAGAAAGTTGGAATGCTTTTGACAGAGGACAGCCTTTTGTGGTGACTGGCCTCATGAAAGTCAGGGGCCTGCCCATTTGGGGGACTTTTGAAGACTGTTTACGCCCTGAATTCACTGAAAAGAGTAGATAACGTGAATACATTTGGATTTACGTGGGTATTTTTTAGTCAAATCCAACTGCAGCAGAACACCAGATACTTACCTTTTCCTGCCGACTCACAAAAGACCCTTCTTCTTGATCCATGCAACATTTTCCCGATCCTTTCATCTGACAAACAGGTGATGCCTTCGGAAGGAACGCAGTTTAAAACAAAATCATTGGTTGATTCTTTAAATTCTAACCCGAGTACCAGGCAGTGCCCGGGCCCCACAGGAGGAGGTCATAGAGTGTGTCCTTGCCCTCAAGGACTCTGTAATGGGCTGGGGTGGGGAACAAGGTATTCATTCACTGAACAGCTAGAGAAATGGCAGGAACGCGCACCACGCTCATGATAGGGTCTTGTTAATGGCCTCACTCAAGTCTCAGGGGAGGATGGAGAGAGTTAGAGGAATGCTTGGTCAGCAGTTAAGGCTTCCCACTAAAACGTGAGGTAAGTGGAGTTTAGCTATAAGGTGGTAACTTAAAGCAAAACTAAACAAAAAGGCTCTTTTTCCTTGAAAGGGTCAGACAGCGTGGATCTTTAATGAACTCATGGGAAGGCAGACTGCCTTGAAGACCTGCTACACACACATCTAAAGAAATGGAACACCTCAGTTTATCTGCATGTTAGTGTAGCTATTCTGAATTATTTGGATAATTTAAGTCCCAGACCATTTGACCTTAATTTTCAGGACCTTTTGTGCAGAACCAAACGAGTGTCTTGGGGCTGAGTCCACTGGTCAGGGACTGCAACTCTCAGGTGAATCATTTCATTCCTGTCTGCCCTTGTCATGTACAGACACGGCCTACGTCTGTGGCTGTTCACAGGCCACTAGTTTGCCTTCATACATGGAGACAAGGAGGCCTGGGTTCTAGCTCCTGCTTTAGCACATGCTAGCTGGGTTGAGTTTGTTAAATTCGGAAAATAAAACATGTTCCAAAGAGGGTTGTTAGATTAAATATGCAATAGTTGCTCACAGTTTTTGACACTAGGAAGAGTTAAAGTGGTGGCTTATATTTTTACTCAAGTCTCTGGGGAGGACTTGAGTAAGTAATTTCCTACAGAGTTAAGAAGGGATTTGGATTTGGTGACAACGCTATGCACAATAAAGGAAATAACTGTAAATGTCTGAATGTGGGGACCCAGAATGAGTGAAACAAAATGCCCATCTTTCTATAGATTTCATCTCCATGGACATAATTACATAGCATTGGGTTGAATCATATGAAGTTGTTGTTTTCATGAGTCAAGAATGGTGGAATATTGGCAATTCATATGGTTCAATTTAAATAGTACTTTACTCAGGATTTAAAATAAGCCAGCCCATAGATTGTAAAAGCTTTTTGAATTCTTCATTACTGGCCTAAAAGTAGTTTCTTTTAAAAAATATTTAGAATTTGGAATTAACTTGTATACCTTGAGTTGTTTTGGTCAATTGAAACTTTATATAATTAATTTTTGCCATAAAAAATGGGTGCTGGAAAAACACCTCCCTGAGACCTCGTCAGAAGTATGTCTCCTCTTTAGGATCATAGGATACTGCGCTGGTCAGTTACTGCAACTCCATGCACTCATCATGTCTTTCCAGGCTTAGTCTTCTTAAGCCTCCTCAGTGTCTTCCCTTCCTGTTCATTAATTCTCTTTCATACATGTTCCTTCAAAGCTTACATACATGGCATAGAGGGTATACTGAGCTTTTAATAATTTTGCTTTTCAATAGATGCAAACTTTATTGAAGAAAATGAAATATAGATTAAGAAACAATTAAATCAGCTGAAAAAAATTTTATACATATTCTTTATTTTAACTTACCACGCAGAAAGTATTTCCACTTTCTATAATTGGTCGGTATCCAGTACAGCGACACAAATTACCTGATTAAGAAGAGATCAATGTTTAACAAATGATATAGAAATATACTGCATATTTGTACTTCATGTTTTCAGTGGAAAGTTATAATAGTAATTAAATTCTGTTTTGCTTCCCAAACCAGCAAAATCGCTCTTTGGAACAGAGATGTTCTTCAAAAATAGATCTTGTACCAGACTTTACAACATAGTCTCATAGTGGCCGCTATGTGAATTACAGGCATAGAATCTGGGAGGAAATAATTCATTGCTATAAAACCGTGTATATTAAAAAAAAAAAAAAGCAAGAAAAACCACAATATATCTGATTTTTCCAAACTCTATATACGTCATTAGTGTGGGTTATTTCATTGAACAATTATCAATTGTTCAAATCTATTCAGGTTTGGTTAAAATTATAATTGAAACCATAGGCCAAAGTTTTAGTACTTAGTGAGAAACTGAAAAATTTTGAGTAAAGAAGTTGTTGAGAGACAAGGAAAACTACTAGACTCTAGTAACTAGAGGATATTTCCATATCAGTTACCATAAAATTTATGTTGAATTATTACTTGGTTTTAGTCTACATCTTTTCATCATAAAACTGAATTTCTGTCTAGGTCTTCTTATTGAAAGGGACCAAGAGCTTTCTTATAATATTCAGAGATTTGCTCCTACAGCTTTCTCCTAAGAACTAGTGACCAGTTGCTTTGAAACTAGGTATGTTTGTTACAGAAGACTACATTTGATAACATGACATGCTCTCTCTCTTTTTTTTTTGTAGAAAATTGTGTTTGTTCACTTAAACTTGACAGCTATTTGTTATAGAAAATTGAATTCATCACCAAGCTTATTATGATAAGTAATTGCTATCTATGACCTCTTTGATCTTATAATGAACCCAACCAGAACGTAAAACTATAAAGTATCTGAAAGCCTATTCTCTTTGTATAATTAATATAATAGAATTCATGAATGATCCTAACAGATTAATTTAAAAATAAACAACAAAATCTTGTTCTTCCATACTACCCAGATTTCCACTTTTAGAAAAGATTCTATTGAATGTGTTATAAACAGCCCATCTGAATGGCTTTGCAGAAGGACAATGGGCTCTGTTAAGGGAGAAAGCTTTGTGATAAAACCAATATAGCCCAATTCTTGGCCTCTTGAATGACAAATTGAAGGCAGCACTTCCTGGAAAGGACTTGGGTAAAGAGAGGTAGTAAAGAGGAAGCCCAAAGCTGTGCCACAACTTCTCTCCATGGCTGAGACCTCCTTCTCTAGTTACTCGGCCAATTCCTATCTCAGGTCTTGCCTGCAGAAGGCCAGGAAGGCTCACCTCCAAGAGCTTCCATTATTTGCTCAGGGGTCGGCTCTGGGTGGTTCCTCAGCAGCGTGTAGATGGACATCGCCATCCCTGGGCTGCAGAAGCCACACTGTGTGCCATGACACTTGGCAAGTCTTTCCTGGGAGGAAAGGGTACATTATTTATGCATTAAAACTTTGGTTTCCTTATCCTGGACAGGAAATAAAAGAGAGTGAGAAATAACAATTTACTTCATCCACTCTATACAAAGAATCTATGCCATGAAGATGTAGATGGGAGACATGACTCTGGGTTCCTCTGTGTGACTTTGTCCCATGTGTCTCTTGCATGGTGTTCAACCAACTGGCTCAACATTTTTCAAGCAGCACGCCCCCTGAGATGAAAGCCACATAGTTCAACTATGGCTAAACTTAAAGAACAGATATTCGATAATATTTTAATAATTATATATGTTATTAGGTGGGTACTAGGCTTATTGGGGAGAAGTCAACATAATATTTACTTACTTCATCATCTTGGGGGAAACCTTGGAAGTTAAATAAATGTCTAACCACTATGCTGTACACCTGAAACTGATATACTATTGAATATCAAGTGTAATTAAAAAAAATAATTATGTTAATGCAACAATGGCATATGTAACCATTAAAAAAAAGGGCAGACATTGTTCTAAAGCTAAAGGGAGATGTGGCTGTGTGGTTTCAGATGTGGCATATCAACTGGCTGTAAATGTGGTGGTCAATCTTAACAACATGGTTTCTGGGGGAAAAGCCCTGATTTGTAGTTTCTACCAATTTTAGTTGTGCAAATATTTCCAATAGGGCTGGTGTCAGGCTTCCAATGTGATGTCATTGAATGTGGATCTGGGGAGAGATGTGTAGTGGCATTCCATTCTATGGCATTTCCACCAAGTAGATATAATAGACAAATAATCTTAAGGGTATAGACAACAGTAAAATGTAGTAAAATAATTAGCAGATGATGAGTGATGATATTTATTAACTTTGTTTTTGTCATTACTTATTTAATTTTAAGTTTGTATAGTTTCATTGTTAATAATGGCTGTGTTTAAAGAATGGCTCACAAAATTCCCCAAAATTTAACAATCAGCTCTCACAAGCCAATATGAGGCTATTCCAGGGCACTACTGAACAAATCTAGCATATTGAGAGAGACCTCTGGTCAAGATGGTGAAGTAGGTAAATGCTGTGCTTGGCTTCTCCCATGATCCCATCAAAATTACAATCAAATTATAAAACAACCATCACTGAAAACCACTGGAGACTAGCTGAATGGAATTCCTACAACTAAGGGTTTAAAGAAGTGGACACATAGGGACTGGAGGGAGAGGCAAAGACACAAAACAGGCTGATCCCACACCCACCTATGATGGTTAAGAACAGGGTGGGGTACCTTGGCGATGGAGGGAGCAAGGGATCCCAGCCTCATATCCAGAGCACCAGTTGCCAGGAAAAGGAGTCCTTACAATACTTGGCTGTGAAAATCAGCAGGGCTTCTGTCTGAGTGAGATGGAGAAAGCTGGAGACCCAGGCACCCTCTAAAAGTGCCTGAGCACAGATTTACTTACCCACAAACATTTGCCCCAAGTTCCTGCAAAGGGACAGCAGCTTGAAAAATGCCAGGGACCTAAGGACACCTGAATCATCTAGCTTCAGGTGAGGGCTGGAAGGGTGGCTCTCTCTTGGACAGAAACCCCAGAGTGCACACCATTGTTCCTTGGTTGAGCTCTCCCCACCACATAGCCATCTGGCGGACACCATTGTTCCTATGTTCAGCCCTTCTCCTGCCCGGCCTGCTAGTACAGGTAGTGGCAAATCTGAGTCTCCAATTAATTTGACTAACACTGTTCACCCCACCCTAGTGATTTACTAAGAACCTGCCCTACCCAACTATGCACAAACCTGAAACCTCTTTAAAGTGGCAGGTCTAAGCCTACCCTCTGGACTTTCCTAAAATTTCTTAGAGATACGCGAACTCTAGACAAGTAGCATCTGGCCCCAGCATGCCTCATGCCTCTGGCACAAGTGGCAGCTGGCCTCGGTTTGCAGCCTAGCCTTTCCCAGGCACCTCCAGGTCCAGCACAGGTGGCAACCATCTGCAGATCACTTTGTAGCTTCTAGCTGGTGGCCTTGGGCCAGGTACAGCAAGTGACTTGGTCTGCACCAGAGATCCTCCCAAGAGGTCCCAGAACCATCATACCTGGTTTTAGACCACACTGGAACATCAACCAATTAGCTACACAAACAACAGACCCAAAGGGTGGACAGTGCAGGCACTAGAATCTTGCTAAAGCAAAACCACTCCATGGAATCAGCCCCTGAAAAACAGCTTGTCTGCTGTAGTCACAGACACTCTTCACAGAGAGTTAACTTGGGGTCAATTTGTCCCACTGACATAGCCACAGCAAAAAAAGCTCAACTATAATAGGAGGGCACATACAACCCACTCGGGTGATGAAGGAGAATGCCTTGCTGGGACCCACAGGACACCAACTCTGCCAAGACCAGGAGGTGTAAAAGATTCACCTAAAACATAAACAAACACAAAGAATCAGCCAAAATGGCTGGGGAAACAAAGAACAATGTCCCAAATGTAAGAATGGGACAAAACTTCAGAAAAAGAGCTCAACAAACGGAGACAAGTAATCTACCAGATGCAGAGCTTAAAACACTGGTTATAAGGATGTTCTATGAACCTAGGGGAAAAGTGGATGAATTTAGTGAGAACTTCAACAAAGAGATAAGAAACATAAGAATGGCAATCACAAAACATAAAAAAAGAATCAGTTAAAAATACAATTACTGAAATGAAGACTGTATTTGTTAACATGACATGCTAATTTGAAAAAATATATGCAGCCCTATGTTCATTGCAGCAATATTTACAATAGCCAAGATATGAAAACAACGCGAGTGTCCATCAATGAACTAGTGCATAAAAAATTGTACAGAATCAATATATGCAAAGTAGGAAGATAGTGGCCTTAAGTAAACGTCTATACTCATCGTCTCCCACAACCACATCAAAATTACAACTAAAATACAGAATAACTATTATCCAGAACCGCTGGAAAGCTGGCGAATGGAAGTCCTACAACTAGAGAAGTAAAGAAGAAAGCACACTGAGACTGGTAGGAGGTGCAGAGGCGCAGAATGAGCTGGTCTGGCACCCACATGGGCCACTTTTTTAATCTTCTCTGCAGAGGCCGCCCAGAGGAGCAAGGGGTCCCAGCCCCACACCAGTCCCCCAGCCCAGGATTCCAGAGTTGGGAAGAGAAATTCCTACAGGCAGTAAAAATTACAGGCTGTAAAAACCAGTGCGGATTGGGGCTCAGTGACACTGAGGCTTCTGGAGACCCAGCTGATCCTCTTAAAAGGCCAGCACCACAAACTGAACTTACAAGGTCTTGCTTCCTCTGAGCTCCAGCACCAGGGCGAGGCTCTGGGGAACACAGACACATACCAGGAGGACCTGGATTGTCTGGTATCAGGACAGGAACTCAGGATGGCTTTCTCCCATATGGAGGTGCTGCAGGGATCATTGTTCCTGTGCTAGGACCTCTGAGTCAGGACTGACTGGCAGCCATTTCTGTTTGCTCCACCCTGGTGATTCCCTAAGACCCTGCCTCATCCAATTTACAACCCAACTCAAGCTGCAAGCAGCGGCTTTTACATATGAATGGCCTGTCCTTGCTCAGTTAAAATCTCAAACAAGCTGCAGCTGGGTCAGGAAGCCCGAAACCTATTAATAAAAGTTCCAAAACCTGGCACCAGCACCAGCCTGCCTTGCTTCACAGCTGGGCCTTGTCTGGGCACTTCCAAATCTGATACAAAGAGAAGAAATCTGCAGATCTCTCTGTAGCTCCTGCTAGGTGGCCCCAGACAGTGGCTGACTTTGCACCTCCCTGGAGACCCAAGAGCCAGTGTACTCAGTGGTCAGTGTCAGCCTATACCAGATTACAGCTCTACACATCCATAAGCAACACACTCAAGGGCAGATTCAGTGAGCACCAAAGCCCCACTGCAGCAAGTCCTGCTCCAAAGGGTATCTCCTGAACAGCAACTCTCCCACTGAGTTGCAGCTGATCCTCACAGCCAATTGGCCTGGAGGTCAATTCCTCCCTGTGACACCAACAGCAATCAAGTCTCAATTACAATGAAACTGCACCCTGATATCCCAGCTCAGGTGACCGGGGAGGCTGAGCCACTGGGCCCTATAGAACACTTGCTACACAAGGACACTCTACCAAATCAAGGAGTCATAGCAGCTCTACCCAATACATAGAAACAAACACAGGGAAACAGCCAAAATGTGGAGACAAAGAAAGATGTCACAAATGAAGAAATGGAAGAAACAAACTACTGGATATAAAGTTCAAAACTATGGTTATAAGGTTATTCAAGAATCTTCTAGAAACCTCCAATGGACTTAGTGAGACTTTCAAGGATCTTAATGAGAATGCCAAAAAAAATGGGAAAGGATCCTTATAGGGAGTAAAAATCCTATATAATAAAAGTCTAATATGCTAAGTAAAAAAAAAAAAAAAATGGAAAAGGACCAGTCAGAAATTAAGCATACACTGACTAAAATAAAGAATAATATACAGGGATTCAACAGTAGAGTAGAGGAGTCTGAGAACCAAACCAACGATTTGAAATATAAGGAAGCAAAAAACACTCAACAAGAAGAGCAAAAAGAAAAAAGAATCCAAAAATATAAAGACAATGTAAGGAGCCTGTGGGCCAACTTCAAGCATACTAACATTCACATTATGGGTGTGCTAGAAGAAGAGAGAAAGCAAGATATTGAAAACCTACTTGAAGAAATAATGACAGGAAACTTCCCCTACCTGGTGAAAGAAATAAACTTACAAGTCCAGGAAGCACAGAGAGTACCAGACAAGAAGAATCCAAAGAGGACAACTCCAAGACACATCACCATTAAAATGCCAAGGGCTAAAGACAAAGAGAGAATTTTAAAAGCAGCAAGAGAAAAGCAGTTAGTTACCTACAAGGGACCGTCCATATGACTGTCAGCTGATTTCACAACAGAAACTATGCAGGCCAGAGGGAGTGGCAAGAAATATTCAAACTGATGAATAGCAAGGACCTACAACCAAGATTACTTTATCCAGCAAAGCTGTCATTTAAAATTGAAGGTCAGATAAAGAGCTTCACAGAGAAGAAAAACCTAAAGGAGTTCATCACCACCAAACCAGGATTATATGAAATGCTGTAAGGTATTCTTTAAGAAGAGGAAGAAGAAGAAAAAGGTAAAGATAAAAATTATGAACAACAAATACATATCTATCAACAAGTGAATTTAAAAATCAAAATAAACGAATAAGAAATCTAATGAACAGAATAAACTGGTGAATAAAATAGAATCAGAGGCATGAAAATGGAACAGACTGAGGATTCTCAGGGGGAAGGGGAGTGGGGGGGGGGTAGGAAGTGATTAAACAAAGATCTTACATGCATATATGCATCACCTATGGACACAGACAATAGGATGGTGAAGGCCTGTGGCAGATTGGAACCAGGTGGAGGGGGCGGGGGCGGGGGAAAGAGGGCCATCTGTAATAATCTCAGCAATAAAGATTTAAAAATTTTTTTTAAAGGCCATGGTACAGTGGAATATTACTTGGCCTTAAAAAAGATACAATCTTACCATTTGGACAACAGTTGAACGTAGAGGGTATTATGCTAAGTGAAATAAGTCAGACAGAGAAAGACAAATACCATATGTTCTCACTTCTATGTGAAATCTAAAGGACAAAATAAACAGACAAACAAAACAGAAGCCGACTCATGACTTCAGAGAACAAACTGATAGTTGCCAGATGGGAGCGGGGGTTGGGAGACTGGGTGAAATGGGGAAGGAATTAAGAAGTACAAACTGGCAGATACAAAATGGTCATGGGGATGTAAAGTACATCATAGGGAATATAGTCAATAATATTATAATAACTGTATGGTGCCAGCTGGTACCAGAATACCAGGGGGATCACTTCATAAGTTATATTAATGCCAAACCACTATGTTTTACACCTGAAACTAATGTAATATTGATTGTCAAGTGTGATTTTGAAAGATGACTGGAGAGAAAGAAATCTGATAGGCTGCAGCATTAGGTGCTTCCATGACTGTTAAGGTGATGAGTCAGGTATGAGGTAGGATCTTAATAAGATCAAAAAGTCATTAAGATTATGGTTGAAAGACATGCACTATAACCAAATACCCATCAATGGTAACAACTGTCAGAAGACGCTCTTAGCCTCTATGCTCCAAGCACAGTTTTTGAAGGGAAAGAATGACAAGGGAAAATATGGCTATTTACAATTTTCTTTCTATACACTGCTTTTAAAACAACTTCTGCAGCAGTTCCTATGCTACTATATGAAAATAGCATTGCCATTTCTTCAAAAAGTCCTGTAAACTTTAGTAAACACGGTGTCATTTTAGCTGTGTTTTATTGCCACCTGGCCGCTCAGTTTCTCCTGAGGCATTTGGTGAGTGTGGGGAGTATTTGTACACAAATTAGCCTCTCATTCAGAGTTCAGTATTTTGAATGTGGTAGACAACCAGTTATCTTCTATAAACTTCTGATTTTCTGTCTCATTTTCTTTTCTCATAAAGACTGAACTGTCCTTGTTTTAGTTTAGGGCAAAGATGGGGCTGAGAAGCTAAGTAAGATGTATTAAAATTAATGAAGAAATCTTAGTTTATACACCAATCTTTGAAAAAATCCCTAGCTATGAAGCATGGAATCTAACAAAGTTCAAATTTAAAAACACAAAGGATTTCACAGCTGGTGACCTATTTAGAGTACATGGGACTATGTGGGGTACGTATACCAACACCTGGTCCCAATCAGAGTACACTCTTACCTGCACGGGGTGAATCCTGGTTTTGATGCTTCCTATACCTTCTACCGTGGTGACAGCAACCCCATACAGAGAACAGATGGGCACCAGGCACGCGGTAACTGGATAATGACTGTGATAGAATTGTGTAAAGAGAACACCTGGGAATCATAGGGATGGGTAGCATAATTCAGGGACTAATGTCGGTCCAGGAGAATCAGGAAACTGTATTTCTGTGAGAATACAGAGAACTCTAGATATAAAACCATAAATTTCTGGAAGTGTTCAAGAAAGAACCTACATGTGGCTGGTGTAGGATATTAAAAAGAAATGGAAAAATAGAATAAGGAAGCGTTTTGTGTAGGGCCTCCCAGAGACCCTCAATTCTCTATTTTTTCCCCCCTCATTCTTGGGAAAAAAAACTTTGTACTAATCATAAGATGATATATTAACTTATATAAACTACCATGGGTTAGTTAAGTCTAGTGATTCCCAGCTATGCAAAGCTTTTAAAAATACAAATATTCTGGTTGCACACTAGTCCAATTAAATATAATCTGATGGGAAGAAAGTCTATGGGAAAGATCTGGAACTTAGGAAGCTGCAGGGAGAGCAGGCCCAGAGCTATGTGAGTGCCATAGACACTTGGGGAGAGGAGAGTAGTGAATATGGACAATAAAGTGGGAGGCTCCACATCCTTCCCAGATGTACCCAAGCATGGCCCTGGCCATCATAAAGGATACCGGATCTTCTTGGTCTTGGGGTCATATCTTGACACCATGACAGTGCAGGAGCCACAGCCTCCACTCCCACAGCCATACTTGGTGCCTGTGAGGTGGACTGGAAAGAAGCGAGTCAAGGAAAAGAGGGGCCCAGGGCCCCTTGCTTTTGTTGTTTAAATATGATTTTATTGATTCCAGAGAGAGGAAGGGAAAGGGAGAGAGAGATAAAAGCGTCAACAATGAGGGAAAATCCTTGATCCCCCTGCTCGCTGTCTACTGGGGATTGAGCCTGAAACCCAGGCATGTGCACTGACTGGAAATCGAACCGTAACCTCCTGGTTCATGGGTCAACACTCAACCACTGAGCCACACAGGCTGGGGCCCTTTGCTTTTTACACTCTTTTTGCTCAGATGCAAACAAGTAACATGTTCTCTTGAGTTCCTTGCTCAGAGTTCCACTTTTGCATGTAAAGGAGCTCATTGATAAAAGTGAGAAGGAGTTTTCTTTCTTTCTCAAATGCATTTCTAAATGCAAATTTTTTCATATTTTGGAAGATAATAAGATGGCACTCCCAAAGGGACTAGGGCAACCCTTCCCAACTCAACACATAGCCATTTCTACAGCGCACCATCTGGATAGTCCCACTAAGTGGGGTACATGAAGAATACAGAGAGCCTCGTGCCTGTTAGATCGGGGTGTGTGTCCAAATGAGGAAGGGAAAAGCCTGTTAAATCCAGAGTTGTGGACAATGGACTCTGGACTCAGGTTATGTTATTGCTGTGGAGGTGGTGTGTATGCAAAACTTAGAAAAATCCTCCTGGGCAACTTGTCTTTCTCTGACTCAGCAATGCAATGCTTTTACCTTCTTAAGGATGAGGGACTATTAATTTAATAACCATGGTTCCTGAGCTAGTCATGTCAACAACCACTGTGTACTTTTCCTCTGTCAAACATTTGCATATTTCCACAGAGGGAGAACAAATATCTTACGTAACACCCCGGCGTTATGTTCTGTAGGAATCTGCTAGAATTGGCTTGGGACCTTTTCTGGTTGAGGTTTAAGAAGGATTTCATGGGTGGAGATCATACATGGCTTGGGTAGAGGTAGAGACTAACTTCATCTTAGAGGCGGCTGCACAAAGAGATGTAATTCTGGGCTGGGTCAGTACACCCCTGGAGTGAAACAGCTTTGTGATGCATGTGTTAACATTGCCTTGAGTGAAAAAGCAAAAAGTTGGTGCAACCAGCTGCTTTCTCCTTCAGTCACCAAACAGCTAGTTTGATGCTTCCTTCTTCCACCCCCATCAGAGGTGCCTGCCTCAAACAGTTCCTTCCATATGTTGTCAGTTCATGCTAAAGCTCATCATTAAGTAGGTTGCCAGGTGAAAAACAGGGGGTGGGCAAAAGCAGGCCTACAGTGGTGAATACATAAAACACAGAGTTTATTCTTGTATCATTATTTATTAATTATTGTATGATTTTCCTCTAGCCAATATATCTGCCCCTATCCCACTCATTATTCCAGGAAAACAAACACACAAAAGCAAACAACAGGCCAAATCCTCCCTCACTGGCTCTGCCATCTCCCATTTACGCAGCGTCAGAGTCTCACTGTTGGTCAGCACACCCTACCACTTCCCTTTGTATCACTTCTAAATTCACTACAGACTTCTCTGGGCTTTCTCTAGACCTCCTAAGTGAAGAAATTCATCTGTATTAGGAGCAAGCTGAAAATGCACGGACTCCCAAGGAAACATGGCCGGAAGCCGCTCTAGGCAGAATTACCCCAGCCTCCCAGTCCCATCTCCCCAGTGTCCTCTTCTGTTCATTCTTCCTGGTGCCTAACGGCATAAAGAAGTCATTCTAAGTAAATGTGTTTCACCTGAGACTTCCAGGCCCCAACCTCTGATTACAGAGGCAATATTTCTGGGATGGAGGCAGAGGCTTATTATTTTAAAAATATGTTTTTATTGATTTTTAGAGAGAGAGGAAAGGAGAGGGAGAGAGAACAAGAAACATCAGTGATGAAAATCATTTATTAGCTGCCTCCTGCACGCCCCTTATTGGGGATTGAGCCCCCAAATGGGCATGTGCCCTGACCCGGAATCTACAGGTGACCTCTTGGCTCCTGGGTAGATGCTCAACCACTGAGCCACACCCACTGGGCCAGAGGCTAATTTTTAACTTGTTTCTCAAGTGGGTGATTTGCATGAATATTCATGGATAGCCACAAATACTGGATTTTCTGCCAGAGTCAGCACCCCATGTGCCTACATTAGCACTGGCCTATTGCACTTTTCACAGGACTCCCATGGCCCCTTCCAAGGCCTTGTACCTAATTTATATTGCTAATTTTATATTTTTTCCCTGAAGGCAGGTCTCCAATATTATAAAAACTTCAGGCTCCCACAAAACCCCAATTTGCTGCTGCCTTGGGGCCTGACTTAGGTGTCGCTGCAAGAATGGGACCCAGTCACACAGAAAATCAAATGTGGGGGAGCCATCCCATCTTTCTTTCACTATTTCACTCCTTCCCAAGGTCACAGCCTCCCCCGGAGTGAACCCGTTCATCCCAGCGGCCCAGCCCACATCTGCTGGGGTGAATTCTTGGATCTCTTGCTTATCTTCTCCCTCCACACCTCCTGGCCTGGTTCAAAGCAACCTAATCTGCAAGGCCAGGTAATGCACCAAGAGAGCGAATGGCCCACAGCTACTTGGGGCGAGGAGAGTGTGCCATTTTAAGTCAGCTTGATCTCTGTGAGATCCTGGCTGTAGTGCAGAACAGGAAAATGAGATGTGTTCACTGTCCCACCACGGAAGCCCTAACACTTCCTGCCATTCTTGCAGCTCACAGATTTTACCAAGCACCAGGTGTTCAGGGGCAAGATGGAAGACACAGCCTCTGCCCTCAGCCTAGTTAGGGAGGCAGCCAGTGAAGGGGTGACAGCAAGTGTCATAGGGCACTCACATCGGGCTTGGGAGGGAAGGAAGAGACAAGGGTTGAATAGGAGTTTGCTGGGCAAATGGAAGGCTTGGGGGTTGGGGTGGTGGTGATAGTACAGTCACCTGTACAGTTCCTGGAATAGTGAGTGGAATAGGGACAGATTATATTGACGAGAGGAGTAAAATGATGGGGTAGGAAACTATATTGCAAGGAGTTCAATAGAAAAGGTGGACCCTAACCGGTTTGACTCAGTGGATAGAGCATTGGCCTGCAGACTCAAGGGTCCCAGGTTCAATTCCGGTCAAGGGCATGTACCTGGGTTGAGGGCACATCCCCAGTAGGGAGTGTGCAGGAGGCAGCTGATCGATGTTTCTCTCTCATCAATGTTTCTAACTCTCTATCCTTCTCCCTTCCTCTCTGTGAAAAATCAATAAAAAATATATTTTAAAAAAATATCCTTTAAAAAAAAGAAAAAGAAAAGGTGGCATCCAGCACACATCATTTATTAGATAACTTTGGCAAGGGAAGAACATGGAGAAATAAAGTCGTGTATTAGGGTATGTATGTTGGGAGGCAGACAGACAGGTATAGGGCTATCATCATGCCCTCGTGCTACCCCCTTTATAGTTGCCCCCCAAAACCAAGAAAAGCTTTTTGAATCTTTATGGAAGTTCTACTGGAGGTCTCAGAGGAGTGAGAGGTTAAGGTAGCTCTAGATCCAGGTGGAGATCTGGGAGGGCATTAGCTCGACTTCGGAATTTTGAAATGTTTATAAAACCTTGTTTTCTTCAATAAGGTTTACGAAAAGGCATACGCGACAAGTCAATGGAATGTGCTTGTGGGAAACCATTGTCAGGGACATGCTGCACTGAGCAATTGAATGGGCATTTTCACCTTCACATGCCTGAACATGAAGCCGCCATCCGGGTGACCATGGGCCTCAGAAGTCATGAAATTATTTTCCAAAGCTGTTCCCCGTGGACCCTCGTAGTTCCCTGGAGGGGTCTTTTGGTTGTGTGCTCAGATGAAAAATACAACAAATAAAGTACACATCTATCACCTCTGGATGCATTCTCTGAACTCCATCTAGACGCTACAAATTGGACACCAGGTTATTGACCTAGAACAAATACAGGCGACTTTCTTCAGAAGTCTTAACATGCTCACTGTTTACCACCCAATCCAGACGGATTACAGCGAAACATAAGGATACGGACTTTCCTCAGGTAGAACAGCAGGTTCATTTCAGGATCGGCGCTCTTCTCTACGACCTACAGTGTGGAACGAGAGGAGGACTTTAGGGAGAGAACACCAGAACGTGTGGCAAGCCTACCTGCTGTTTAGGGGCATGTTTCTGACAGGTGATGACGTCCAAAGACTAAACAACAGCAAAGGAAACACAATACTTGGAACCAGAATTTTGAAAAAATGAAGGAGCATTATTTTAATGCCTCTGGATTTTGTAATACATATGACAAGTATAAATTCTGGGTTGTTTTTCCTTAGAGTTATCTAGGGTAATGGATACACAGGTTCCAAAATTGATCAAGTTACCTAGTGGCTACAGAAAGCCACAAAACAGGTTAGCTGGAGAAGATTTTCTAAGGGAGTCATAAGATCATAAGGGAGTGTGTTTAAGGGAGACACCCCTGTCTTCTCCATCCTTCCCCAGTGAAATGCAGGGAAGAGCAGAGGGAGCATCAATCTCTGTTCTGTCTCTCACGTTGCATTTCAAGCTGTTACCGCCAATAGGTCAAAGTTGACACATGCTATGAAAGCTGTCTGCCCTCCCTGCCCAAGCAGCTCCCTGGTTAGGTACAGTCAGGCAACATTAGCGAGAACTGGAGAGAAAGTCACCTGGAAAGGTAGCACTGAGGACATTATTCTACTAAAAGTGCTTGTATTTTTATCACCCCAGGAAAACAACAACAAGCCACATTATTTTTAATAAATGTCTCGTATCTCCAAGCTTCCTTCTGTGTCCTCAGAGGATCTGAAGAGCCAGAGATAAGCTCAGTACCCATTATGACATGGGAGGATCAAAGCCCAAACGAAGTAGGAGAAAACAAGATTAGACGTTGGGAATTTAATGAAAGGATGCTAACTGCAATTCTGACATCTCAAATACATAGCACTCCCAGCCATTTAAAATAAATATTTCAGCCCTGCCATAGTGGCTCAGTGCTTGAGTATTGACCTATGAACCAGGAGGTCATGGTTTCATTCTAGTCAGGGCACATGCCTGGGTTGTAGGCTCCATCCCCAGTAGGGGGAGTGCAGGAAGCAGGCAATCAATGATTTTCTCTGATCATTGATGTTTCTCTCTCTCTCTCTCTCTCTCTCTCTCTCTCTCTCTCTCTCTCTCTCCCTCCCCCCCTCACTTTCTCTCTGAAATCAATAAGAATATATTTTAAAAATAAATAAATATTTCCATAATCATATGAAAAATTCTGGTCATACCATAAGTTGCACTCATAAAATTGTACTCGTACCTTCTGTTTCCTCTGGTACTTTATAGACACATAGGAAATGATTTCTTTTTACTAAGTATATGAATAAAGGAGCAACTTTACCAAGATCTAGAGATAAGCAAGGGAGAACCATGATGTAAGAAGATTTTACACCCATCAGATTAACACACTTTAGCAAGTTTGATTGTATCAAGTGTTGCCACATCATAGATTAGCAAATCGTATATTTATATTGGCAAGAAGGCAGCCTTTATCATGCAATGAACTGTGGGAAAATGTAACTTGTGCAGGATTCCTGAAAAGCCACCTGGAAGAACCTGAGACATTGGCATGCCTTAATTTCACTTAGAGATTTTCCTGCCAGCGTTGGTAAGGAAATAACGGTAGGGTGTTCACTGTTTGTAGTGGGGAATTGGAAGCATCCCATGTGTCTATCACTGGGGGACTGGATAAGCAGGATGTCCACAGCCTGGAGAACTCTACATGCAGAAATAATGAGCCAAGTGCTCAAAGAGCAACATGGATAGATCTCTTTTGAGTCACAAAAGAAATAGAAGGAGATGTATACGTCTTGTGAAGTAAATCATAATTTCACTTGGGTAACGTAAGAATATAAATACACTCATGCAAAGCCAAACACTGTACAGTTGAACCTTGAACAATGTGGGATTAGGGGACTGATCCCCCTGCACAGTTGAAAATTCATATATAACTTCTGACTCCTCCATAACTTAACTATTAATAGGCTACTGTTGACTAGAAGCCTTACCAATAACATAAGCAGTCAATTAACACATAGTTTGTATGTTATATATACACTAGAGGCCTGGTGCATGAAATTCATGCAGGGGAGGTGTGTTCCCTCAGCCCAGCCTGCACCCTCCCCAATCTGGGACCCCTTTGGGGGGATGTCCAACTGCCAGTTTAGACCCAATTCCAGGGATTGGGCCTAAAGTGGCAGTTGGACATCCCCCTCACAGTCCTGGATTGCTGGCTCCTAATTGCTCACCTGTCTGCCTGCCTGGTTGCCCCTAACTGCCCCCCATGCTAGCCCGGTCACCCCTAACTGCCCCAGCTGCTGGCCAGATTGCCCCCAACTCCCCCCCCCCCTGCCAGCCTGGTCTCCCCTAACTGCCCCCCTGCCGGCCTAATTGCCCCCAACTGCACCTGCCACCAGCCTGGTCACCCCTAACTGCCACCTCCCCCTTGTGGGCCTGGTCACCCCCAACTGCCTCCCCTGCCAGCCTGGTCACCCCATGCAGCCTGATTGTTCAGTCATTTGGTCGTCCCTCACTAACCCCCCAGCTGGCCTGGTTGTAGGCAGCCATCTTGTGAAGGAATGAGGGTTAATTTGCATATTACCTCTTTATTATATAAGATATATATTTCTATTGTATTCTAACAATAAAGTAAGCTAGAGAAAATGTGATTAAGAAAATCATAAGGAAAATACATTGGGGGAAAAAAGCACATATAGGTGGACCAGTGCAGTTCAAACCTGTATTGTTCAAGGATCAACTGCATATATTTTAAGGATACGTCTATCTTTCTAAATGACTATATTGAAAGTATATGACAAGGATGTATGTTTATAATGCACAAGAGTGAATGCATCTGGGAAAAGGAAATAAAGAGAAGATAAGAAATAAGAAGAAAAAAGAAAATAATATAAAGCAAAAGAAGAGCCTTGTCCAGACTGTGATGAGGATGTGCCATTGGTGAAGGAATGTGCTTTGCTCAACTCTGCGCTCCTGGGTCTAAAGGGAAGATGATCAACCACAAAAATAACAGCAAACCTAATTTCTTCAAAGAGTTGCATATATTTCCCCCCTTTTATTTGCCATCTACAACTTGTCTTAGAAATTTGTAAGACAGAGAAAGGGAAAAATACCAAACTATCAGCTATGAATTCAAAAGATTGGGAGACCTGGAGAGGGAATACTCATTTGAATGTGTTATTGAAGGATACATGGTTTTATTTACTAGCAAAGGCAAAGCAACAAAGCCCCGTTTTCCTTGAACTCAGAAAAGTTCTTAGCGTTTGAATTCCTGTGAATTGTCCACTCAGCAATTATTCTTCTGACATGCCAGCTGGCTTCAGGTCATGCAAGATCCTGACCAATTGGTAAGCAGTATTGCTAAACCCAGATTTTTTCTTGGTTCTTTGCTTTCTCTTTCACCCTTTGTTCTTTAGTTCATGGGTTTCCTAAAAATGTTGTTTCCCTGCTATTTGACAGGCAACACTCCAAGAATGCCTGCCATGATTAAAGCTGTGTCCCCCCTTTTAGGGAAGAACATGAGTAATGCAGCACAACGAGGCGTAGGAAGCAAAATCATTAACACCAAATGACTTTTCAAAACAATTTTCTGTTTTAATATTTTATAAGTTTTTTCCCACCTAATTGTCCCAAAGCACCTCAAACATTTTATTTATTCATTTTGCTCATTCAAGTACAGGCCTGAGGACAACAGAGATTCGAGTTGCTGCACCTCTTCCCCAGTGGACACAGCAGCCTCCCTGTCCCGTGGCTCAGGAGAGCTGCTTCAGTTTCTGGGCTAATTGACCAGCTGAGTGGATGTATGAAGGCAAAACAAAACCATTCTTTGTGATTAGCATCCTTAATGTCATATGTACCTTCTGTTGCAATAACATCAGTGAACTCCAGTAGAGCTCATCTAGTTTTTCATAACCTGGGTCAGAATTCACTCCCATTGTAATCCAACAAATACAAACGGGAGCTCCTTACTGTCCAAAAGAAAAGTTCAGAGCAAGCAAAAGCCGCCATGCTTTCATAATTTTGCACTAAACCTTGAATGAATGACCCATGCTCAAGTTCAGACCAGTACATATGACTTGACAAAGACAGAAGGCAGAGGTTACTTAAGGAGTGGTATCGTAGTGAAAAGAAACTAGCTTGGCTTTTGTCTCTGGTGTGCAAAAATTCATATTAATCATTGTGTAAACTTACCTTTCTTCCATTCACAAAGAAAATCAGCTCATCAGAACTGGGGAGAGAAGGCATTGTGCCAGAAAGCAGGGCCCCAGGAGGAGGTTTTCTCCAGTAGAGCAGGTCAGAGAGCCAACACCCGGATGCCTATCCGTATGGGAAAAGCCCAAGCTTCAGCAGGTGATTTATAGCCACACGTCAGCAGACAGGAACACCAACCAGGGCTGTCTGCCCGCCCCGTCTGCCAGCACTTCAAAGGGCTCTTGGCAGCACCCTGTCTCCTCCTTTGCCAGGAGTGAGCCAACTCAGTATCCTTGCCTCTCCCCTTTGAAGTCCAGAATGGAATTCTACAGAAATGTGTTGAAAGCCGGGGACTAATAAATAAAAATCGAGTTTTGCCTGACTGGCGTGGCTCAGTGGTTGAGCATCGACCTATGAATCCGGAGGTCACGGTTCGATTCCCAATTAGGGCACATGCCCGGGTTGTGGGCTTGATCCCCAGTGTGGGGCGTGCAGGAGGCAGCTAATCAATGATTCTCATCATTGATGTTTCTATCTCACGCTCCCTCTTCCTTCCTCTCTTATAAAATCAATAAAAATATATATTTTTAAAAAATCAAGTTTTAGCCCTGACCAGTTTTGCTCAGTGAATAGAGCGTCAGCCTGTGGACTCAAGGGTCCCAGGTTTGATTCCAGTCAAGGGCATGTACCTTGGATGCGGGCACATCCCCAGTAGTGGGTGTACAGGACGCAGCTGATCAATGTTTCTCTCTCATCAATGTTTCTAACTTTCTATCCCTCTCTCTTCCTCTCTGTAAAAAATCAATAAAATATATTTTTGAAAAATCAAGTTTTAAATAGGCTATTGTTATTTTTAAACTAACCAAACCATCAATCAATAAAATAGTATACTATTAAAACTCATGAAACTTTCCCCAGTGCCCTTAAAGTTTTATTGGAACCCAGCCACAAACATTCATTTAGGTTTTGATTCTGGCTGGTTTCCAGCTGCCACAGCAGGGCTGAGTGGTCACAGTCGAGATCTTATGGTCCGCAAGGACTTAAGATATTTACTCTCTGGGTCTTTTACTGAAAAAGTTTGTGGACCCCCTACTGGATCTCATCTTTACTTCTCTCCTTTGCATTCATTCCCCAGCTTCTCCTTCCATACTCTGTTTCTCAAGAGTCTGGTGCCCCTGCCGCCTTCTGCAAAGCTGCCACCGCCCCCCGCCCCCCTCCCCCTGGAACCCACCCACACACACTGCCTCCCTCTGCCCTGCGGCTTCCTCCAACACCGCTGTCAGGACCAGTTCTATGACTAGGCCACAACCTTCAGTGAGTCAACATGGTTCTTTCTGTAGTGTTCTTACCTGTAGTCACACGTTTCTGGAGTTTCTGGAGGGCAGTGGAAATTATTGCCAGGCACAGCATGCCCTCTGTGCAGGTGAGTGGACTGCAGAAATCCATTACTACTCCACCAAGGAGCCCCCATGTGAGTGGTCCCCCTGGGGGCTGCCATCTTGAAACAGTAAAGGTCCTTCCCTCTGACTTAGCCAAAAAAGAATGTCTGCTCACTGAGGCAGGATGGGATTTCAGGGGTGGAGCTTTAAGGCAGAATTTTACTACAGAAATGTGGATGGGGCAGAAAGTGTTTCTAATCTCTTAAATCTAGAAAACCCTGCTTTCCTTAAACTAAGGACAATTAAAGGTTATATGTTCACTCCCTAAACAAAAGTTAAATAGCTTATGTCAAAGCTTTTAGAAGGGACTGATAGCAGTAATCCAATTTCTGTGATCCCAGCCAAAATTTTAAAACCAGTTTAAATCTAATTGATATCTCTTAATAATTATAATAAGTATATAATTTTTAAATCATATATATATATATATTTATATATATATATATATATATAAATATATATATATATATATATATATTTGATGGTCTTTCAAGTCGGATTTCAAAACTATAACCAAGGAATGACTGAGAAATTTCACGGGCCCTGAAATGTTTTCAAAAATTTATTCTCTCTTTTTAAAGAATTTTTTAATTTAACCTAATTTAATATACTTGAAATCACATGGAAAGCTTTATCAAATAAAAATTAATAAATATATTTTAAGTATTTGCCTCTGAGAAAGGGCAAAACAAGTTATTTTGTTTAATATTTCTTAGAATATAGCAGTGGAATTTTAAGATGTAATTTGAAATAACAAAAGCTCCTTACTGCTGCATTTTAAATTAGGCTGGAGCAATAATTCACACTTGCAATAAGTGTGGTCCCCTTGTGAATCAGAAGTTTACTAAATACTACATTTGTTATGCCCAGATTTCAAGATTCCCAATAGACCAACAGGGAGCCAGCCAAGTCCAATGCAAAAGGAGAGAATTTTTTATTATTATTACAGACCCAGGTCTGGCTCCCAGCTTCCACCGATGCAATGGCGAGACGAGAGAGACCGTCCATGGGAAAAAATGGGGTTTTAATAGGGGGGTGGAGTGAGGGGAGGAGAGATGACTGTGGGCCCTGCCGATTGGCTAGGTGGAAGTCGGGTCTTGTTACACAGGATGTGGTCATATCCATGGCGCGCACGTCCCCTGATTGTCATTGGTTAGTTTAAAAAGATTCCGGGCATGGCCAGCAGAGGCCTGGGCTTCCAGGAAGAAGGTACTTTCCTGAGCACATGGCTGCTGCTCCAACATGGAGGATACGGGGCAAGATGGAGGGCATCGCCCTCGCCCTTTCACATTTACTTGCTTCACTTTGCCTTTTAAAAAAATACTTACTTAAATTACTATCCTTGTAAGCAATTGAATCCTAGTAAAGTAAAATTCTTCTAAAAAAGTTACTGAAGGCTTCCCATGATTCCTCTGTATATGCAAATAAGCAAAAGGGGATACTGTTTAAAAATATAATTGCTAACATTTACAGATTGTTGTTAAAATACTAAATCTGACAATAATTACAGTCACCATAAATGAAAAATCACTTGAAATATATAGCTTTGCGACAGTATCTGTTAAAATCTCAAAAGGCAACCATGTTCCTTACATTTGTTGCTTGTGTGAGAAAGAAAACTGTCTGGAAGGAAATAAAAAGAGGTTTCCTTCAGATATCTAACTATAATTAAAAATCAATATATTGGGCCTCATAAACTAAAATAAATAATTTGTGTTTTGCCTCCTTAAACAAAATTTATGTAAATTTACCCAAAGACTAATACCAGAAATTTAATTAATGTCATTTACTGTCCATAACTTAGGACAAGTAAAGTTAAAAGAATAAATGTTATTTCAAACTGACTTAAATTGGCAAATTAGGCTAAGTGGATATTCAGGGGAACTTAGTTGTCACCTATTAAAAGATAAACTACTACAATTTTTATATAAGACCGCCATCATTATACCAAAAAAATACTAGGCAGGAACCAATTCCTGGAGCATTAACTGTTTTTACTGATGGGTCATCAAATGGGAAAGCTGCCTATCATACTATAAATTCTGACCGAGTCATACTGACCAGTCATACTTCTGTGCAAAGAATTGAATTAGAAGCTATTAAGGCTGCATTGCAAGATTTCCAACAGCCTGTTAACATAATTTCTGATTCCTCTTATGCTTCGGGCCTAGTAAGTAGAATTGAAACTGCCCAGTTGAAATGGCTTTGTGACCAAAGTTTATTCTTACTATTTAAGCAAGTTCAACAGATTGTGCAGCAGAGAAAATACCCTTTTTATATCACTCACATCAGGGCTCACAGCGTATTACCTGGCCCCCATTAACTAAGGGAAATGCACATGCTGATCAATTGGTTGCTTTATTAAAAGAGGCTTCATGCCAGGAGCCGGTCCATCCTTGCTGTTTCAAGGGACCTGGCATTTTGGCATACTGTTCTTAATATGTTTGCTCCCCTTAGCACTATGTGTTTTAACCAAGGTCACCTCTCCGAGAAAGGTTGTTTCCCCAGGTAGGGATTTTTCCCTGAAGTTAGGGAGGGGATAAAACCCCTTAACTAAGTGCCAGGCGGGTAGTTAATCACTTTAACTATGAACAATCACACTTAAGCTACATAATCTTTACTCCCTGGAATGGAGATAAGAAACGCCCTAACCTTTGGAATAGAGATTGATAGGATTGGAATCAACTGGTATAAATACAGATGTAACAAGACAACAACACACAGAACCTAGACACAGAACCTAGACACAGAACCTAGAGACAGAACCTAGCAAGAGAACTTGCCTGAAGAACCTAGAGACAGAATCTGGCTACAGAACCTGGATAGAACATGGCAAGAGAACCTGACTAGGACCTGGTGACTGAACCTGGCTGGAGAACCTAGCGAGGGAACATGGACACAGAACCTGGCTGGAGATCCTAACCAGAACTTCGCTGGAGATCCTGAACAGAACTTGGCTGGAGATCCTGGCTAGGCTGCTGATCAACTGAACGCTGTCTCCGTGTCATTCCTTCTTCGCCAACTCCGTCCACACCTTTGGGGACCCCTGGACCTGCTGGGGTTGGACCCCAGCAGCTTCAGAGTCTCATCAGCTTTTAAAAATCCCAACTTGAAAAACAAAAAAGGGGGGATGATGGAGAAATCACCTTCGGGTAGGCTGCACTTAGCTTTAATTACTCTAAATTTTTTCACTTGTGATGCTAATGGAAAGACACCTATGGACTACATTGGTGTCAGAATAAAACAAACAGCCCAGAGACCACCTAGGGCACAGTAAAGTGAAGTATGGTAACAATTATTTCAGGTTAAAACTGTAAGTTTCATTATGGTCTTAAAAGGCACATTTTTCCTTTGCCTGGGAAGGACAGCACAGCTATCCCAAGGTCAGAGGGCTCCAGTTAATGTGTCAACTCAGTGTTCTGGAGACCCAAAACTGTAATTTAGATAAAATGCCTAAGTTTAACCCAGGTCGCCCAAGGGTTCTAGACCCAACACTGTAATTTAGATAACATGCTGTCTCTGCTTCTGTAAATTGCTTTTTTTTTTTGAAAACTAGGTTCCTCATTCCAAACCTTGAGACAGCCAGTTTAAAATTAAGTCGTCATGACCTAGAGCAAAGAATATTCTTACATGGTATTATTCTACAAGTTTCATTAATAATTTCTGATGCTTTACAACAGTATATTGTGCATTTATCCCAAACAAACTTACAAATTAATTCTTTGAAGGTTTTAAAGAAAGGATTTATTCCCTTCCACTGTGTGGAAGGCCCCTTGGGGAAGGCACTTAAGCATTCTGTATTGACCTCTCTTGACCTTTTTTGCCACGAGGATTCCAATTGTCTATAGCTGTTA